GTTCAGAATGCAGATGTACTTTCTGAAAGTTTAATATCTTTCCTCAGTTGGGGAAACAAAATTCAGAAGGCACCTATTTAATCTTAAAACAAAGTTAGGGTGAGAGCTGGTGGCAGAAAAACCTGCAAATTGCCTCCTGTTTATCTAGCTACCATCAGGCCCTGATATAAAGTGCTCCTTTAGAAAGGAGTTATGCAGTCCAGACTTTACTTGTGTTTCCTTTTGCCATCCCCTTTCAAAACCCTTCCACTTGGAGCTAAACTAATAGCACTTGAAAGGTGCGAAAACCAAGGTTGGAGAGGGGCTCCTGGTGGTAAATACACAAATAAAAGTACCCCGATGTTTGGGGTCAGGCCCAACTTCGCTCACACAGAACAATTTCATTTTACTGTTCACAAATCATTTGAAGACAAGATATGGCTTGACCCTGTGCACAGGTTACTGAGCACCTCCCGGACCTCTGAGGAGTGATTCTGGTTGTGACCATCACCAGGGCACCTCACAGACCCTGTCCCCAGGCCCAAAAGGCACYAGTGCTAACATTTCCAAGGATTCAATGCTGCTCTGGGCTTGGCAGCAGTCACAGCAGCTGGGACAYTCCTTGGTGCGATTTGTGTAGGAGACATAACATCTATCTCAGCTCAACGCAGATGGTTTCAATATTCACATCTCCAGGCGCACACAGGCACCTGCAAATTACAGAAGTGGGRAAGATTCATGGCATGCAGTCAAATTCTATGATGAATAAAGTATTAAATTGTTGACTAAACTGTGAAATGAAATCTAGAGCCAAATCCACCCGGCCAATTAGAAACAYTCATTTTCTTCCAAAACGTGCTTCAAGGCTTTGCCAGCTTCAAAACTGAACTTTTGGAAAGAAATGTGATTTATTTATTGAAAACACTTCTGATAGGAACTCCACCCTGACAGCTGCTAAAATTTTGTCCAGAGGAAAAAGCAAGAGAGAAATGATTTTAAGGGGAAAAAAAGGATTAGGTATATTCACACACACTTATTCCCTGTGTTCTCAAGTCTCAAGTAGGTGAATCTTGTGATCACCAAATGAAGAAAACTCACATATGCTGAAATCAACAAGCCTGCAGTGTTCAGGTTTGTCTTGTCACATGACACCACCAAAACAGAAGGCACAAAGTCTAGTGCTGTCTGGGTCTGTGTCCAGAAATATCTAGTGATTCCAACCCCCAGTTAACCAGTATAAATAATGAATAATACCAGAGATTTCTGTGGGATTTCATTAACATAAGCAACAACCAAACAGATTTAAGACACGCTATGCTGGTTAGAAAGCTTGGGAAAAGATGGRAGGATAAATAAAGCTGTTTGGATTTTCAGAATTGTGTATTTATATATTTATATTATTTCAAGTATTCATCTGGAAGCATAACTTGCCTAGAATACCTATTATTTTTAGATGTTTATTTACTTTTTAACTGTTACTCTTTTACTTGAATATTATATGTACAACAACTTTTGCTGGATGTCATTAGTGCATATATTCAGCTTTCCTGGACTGTAGAAAAGTTAGCAGGRACAAAAGTTGGGGTTTATTTTTATCCTGAAAATTGTCTTAGCTAAAAGACAGCATTTCTAAGAATTGGCAAAATCCCTAATTGGCTCTGATTTTCCTTGGTAGCCTCCTAAACTTTACTTGTGTAACCCTTGGACATGTCCCCTGCATGAGGATCTGAGGAGGACTGGATATGAGGTGGAGGAAGATTATGTCTCCAGTACCAGAAAGAAGGAGCACACTTGATTTAAAAAAAATAACAACCCAGGCTTGGTCACT